CAAAAAGAGTGAAAGGCAGTCGGGCAAGAACAAAAGGAGCAACGGGCTGGCGTGGTGGAAAGTACAACAGGGGTCATGATATGAAAACAGCGATATGACGCAGAGAGAACACACCAACCCTTAAAAGGAGTCTTGTATTGGCCTTAAAGGACTCTAAACTGTAAAACGAATACCACAAAATGCGTTTAATTATGTGAAATAACGTCATTAAAAAATATTTTGGATGGAAATCTTGATTGTTTCAATATTTTTTATAAGTTCTTGAATAAAAATTTCAATGACTACACATACAAAGACATATATATATATATATAGACAACGTTAGGACATAGAGTAAGTAATCCAGTCAGTAATCCATTCAATTGTTTGACAGATAATTCAATGATAATACATTAATATTTTTTAAATATTGAAAATAAATCTGGTTCAAACTATTCAGGTCGTGGGACATTTTGAACAGTATCTGTCAAACAACTAAATGAATTACTGACTGCCGCAGATCTGCGTCCTAACGTTGTCTATGTCTATATATGTCTTTGCATGTGTAGTCATTGAAACTTGAATTCAAGAACTTGTAAAAAAATATTGAAACAATCAAGATTTTGATCCAAAATATTTTTTAATGACGTTATTTCACATAATTAAACGCATTTTGTGACATGATACGACATACAATATATATATAGTTTTTGTATTGTCTGTTGAGTAAAACAACATCTTGGGCTGTGGATATTTATAAAAATAAGCATAAGTCACAGGCATTCCCTTTAGTTATTCATTGAGAAGAAATGAGGAGTTAGAGTTAGGATAAGAGTTTTGTCCTTCCATTCTTCTTAAACTTTTATGTTAGTATCTTATTACTTTTCTATTGCTGCTATAACACCTGCATTTTCCTATGGCGTTCAATAAAGGTCCATCTTATCTTATTTCATTGAAATCTTAATTTAGCTCAATAAGGTTGAAACAATGTTTTTTTTTATGTGTTTGTGTGTGTCATGGCGATTGTTGCTTTTAGGCGGCATCTGCGGAGAAACTAGGCTGGGAGGTTGCTGCTCTCATTAGAGGATCAGAGAGCACAGCGGCGCTGATTCACTTAAACATGAGAGAGCAACAGTCACACACACATTGTACCATCAGTCAAACACTTGTATGTACCTACAGTTGATCAAAAAAGTATAGACCGAGGAAATACCAATCATTTTTTCTTCACTTAAATCACCTTCTGTGATTTGTTTGTGTTTTATGTCCATTTGCCATGAAGGCAATATCAAAAAACAGAAACATCAGACGTTGTATCCTCTTTTTCATTTTTATTTCCATTTTTTATTCATTTTGCACAAGCTTGCATATATACTGCACATACATTCAGTTCATAGAGGGTGAAGGCACAAAAGGCAATTTGACTACTGGTTGTTTTTGGGCTGGGCCAAAGCAATACAGGGGAAAAATCTCAAGAGAAAATACAAAACTGCTTCAAACTACTTTCAGCTTTCTAGCCCACCCTCGGCCCTGTCGAGGAACAAAAACACAACAACCTTAATTTTTTCTCTAAAACGGTCCAGTTCCATTTAGCTGCCAAGATCTCCATTTTATCATTTCTCTCAATCGAATGAGCACGCTAGAATACAAATGTTCCTTCATTAAATTTTAGGTAGATACGGATTAAAATCTTTTAAATTGGTTCTACTTAATAAAATGCAGTACAGCCTTCCCTGTTTGAAAAGCAAAAGAAAACAACATCAAATAAATTAGGATAAATTAAACCAATAAATTACACAAAATCTGCAAGACAAATAGACACCAATAACAGAAGGAAAAAAAAGCAGCCATGTCATGAGTTGTATTTTACAACCTGTGTGTAACTATTCAGACTGTATTTGAAACATGACTGTTCCAGTTGGAATTACTGCACTAGAATCGAATAATAATATCATACAAAAGCTTCAACAAAACACTATTTACATAACATATTGCTAAGTTACACAAAGGCAGTATTTATCACTGTAAGTCCACATCATTGATATTTACAAAAAAAGAGAGGAGCAATGTAATAAAAAAGAATAACTACTGAAAGCATCTAGAAACAAAAAACCCTTTCAAACAGGTCAGAAAACAGATCAGAGGAAATTATCGCAACCACACACACACACACACACACACACACACACACACACACACACACACACACACACACACACACACACACACACGTTGCCAACGCTTAATGAGAATCATTTACATGTCAGGATGGTACTCCCAGGGGTGGGGGAGGGGCCACAGTGTTGAGAATTGTGTCACTCACTGGTTCACAGGTTCTCATAATCGGTCTTTTTTCTCTCACACAGACACACACTCATATACATCTACACAAACACTCACACACTCGCAAAATGCAAAGCGTACAGGAATTCCACAAAAGTCCAACCCCAACTATTTGAACCCGGTAAAAAAGGGTATTTTCCCATCTGTAGTCTCTTTTTAAAATGTTACTGTACATCATGTGTCCTATCAATGACACTAGTCCTCTGATGACAATGAGTTCCTGTCTCTCACCCGGGTCAAATCTAGAGTTACGTCGGCGGCAGTCTGCCCTTGTTTTTGGACAAGACCGGGTCATGCCAACGACCCACACAGTGACATCATCATTACCCGACTGCTAGCCTAATGCATCCTTCTGTCAGCAAAAATTAAAGAAACGGATGCTGGTGCAACTTCAAGGGCACTGCCGACGGGAAACAGACCCCCGTTAAAGGCATGGCAGGGACATAAGCAAAAAAAAAACTTCTCCTCTGTTGGATTTTGGAAGAGAGGTTATGAGTCCGGTTGAGAGAGCAGAACATCTCTCTTTTTTTACCCCTTGCTAGCACTCTGTGAGCTTATAGAAAAACTGTACAGTAATTCTTTGTTTAATCCTGACAGTATTTACAGTAGCAACAACAATATTTCATAATCTGAAAACAGATCCCAAGTTTATTTTTCTGATCTGAAGAAGTCAACCATTCAGCACAATACAAAAATGTTGAGAATCCAAAAGGAAAACTGGTCACTAAACCTGCAAAAGAAAACTACAACTATTGCTCCTAATCTACCAACAACTCACCTATTCATAATACATATTTAAACAAAGCCGTCCCTAAAAATACCCTCAAGATTTCTTTTATGAAACATTTTCTAACAGTGCCTTCCAAGGAACTTCCACTACTGTATATACTTTCCCCATAGATTCATCTTTTACAATTCTTAAAAAAAGCTATATATGTATTTCAATAATGTCATCCTCAAAATCAAACGACCCCAGGAAAGGAAAACAAAAATATTTTCAACGCGGTATTAAGGTCTTGTTAATCCTTTTTTTGCACATAAGTCTTCATTATCCTGAATTAATCTTTTTAGGCGCAGAAACTCTTTAACTCTAAGGGCGAGGTTGCAGGAAGGGGGAGGGAGGGTGTAGAGCGATAATAATCTGTGCGTCAGATAAAAAGTGTCCTTTCCTCTCTCCTTTGTTTGTGGTGCTTTAGAGCCCTTGGCTGTTGCTTTGAGACTCTGAGACACGCAGGGCCCATCCTTCAGTGAGAAATGTGTCCGGGTTGCTCTCCCAGGGCTTCCAGATCTTAAGAAGAACTCTGATCAGGGAGGAGGAGATGGGGGACATAATGAAGGGAGTAGCTCTCTGTCTTTCTCTGCCTCCTTTTGTCAGGCGCTTTGTCACGCTTAGACAAGTCAGCAGGTTAAGCAACCTGCCTCGTTTGATCTTTTGTGGCACACACACAACAGACACACCGTAAGAAAAAGTCGCCAAGGTGAGATCAACAGCTAGCTTGCACGCACTCTAGAAAGCATTCAGGTCCTCTCGTTAAACTTACCTCACTGGAAAAGGCAGCTTTAACTAACTGCTTTTAAATTCCTAAATAGCCTGAGAGGGCGGATAAAGTGAATAAAACACTAGATATACATGTGCAAGTCAAGTGGAAAATCTGGGATCAGGATCTCAGGTAAAAGTGAAAGGAATGGTATTTAGCAAACTGGGCAAAGTGGCTTCAACTGAATCACACTTTGGGTCCTAAAAGCTGCCAGTTTGGGACGGAGGGGCAGAGCAGAGGGCTTCAGGTGCGTGTCGCTCCTCACTCTGTGCCTTTGTCCAGCTCTTTGTAGTGCTGAGAGCTTCTCCATCTACCCCCGGGGTGGGTGCTCACCTCCGACCTTGTATTGCTGCATTGAGAGAGGAGCTAGGTCACTCAAAGGCAGGTGAACATGGAGGGAAGGAGCAGTGTGTGTGCTGTTTGTGTGGGAAGTTTGACTTGTAACCAAATGAATGAACGCCTGTGTTTCAGCTTATATTCCCCTCTATTGTTCTCTCTATAATGCTATTATTCTTATGTATTGAGTCCTCTATATGGTTTGAGCGACACTGTCCTCTTTGCCACAGTATTCTGATATATTCAAGTATCAACTGCTATTGAAATAACTTCATAATGTCACCTTGTATAGGCTAATCACAATAAAAGCCTGCCATCTAAACAGGTGGAGACTTCATCTCACACATGAGCTATTTAGTGCTATAAAATGAAAAAAACCGATGCAGTTATTATTGTGAATGTTCACCAACCCGAACGAATAAGATTTATTTGATAGCTGGACATATGGCCCGTTAAGTGGGAGCAGTTTAGTTATCAAAGCTGGAAAGGCTATTGAAATGTAGCCATTCAAAACAGCAGGTCACACACCAAAAAGGCCAGACTTCTTCTTCTTCATATTTCTATACATTTGCACCATTTACTTCATGTTTTTGTGCAGACTTATTCCTTTTCCAGCATGATCCTGTGCAGAATAGGCGCAAAGAGAAGCCCACTACCACGGCCCTTCATTAAAACCCCAAATGGAAATACTTTTCAGGCGAGTTGCCCCAGACCACCGGAAAAAACTAAAAAAGTCTACTTCAGATGTGGACGAACAAAAACAAGAGTAGGAAGGGTAGGAAATGAGGGTGGCAACATATTTCAGAATCTAAACTCTTGGAATAATATTAATAGCAATAATTTATTTTTTTTCTGCATCAAGGGACAAACAAATCTGCCAATTCTTCAGCAAGCAGTGATGACAAATAATAATAATAATAATAATCATAAACAAGAACAATAATAATAATAATCAAAATAATAATGTACACCCAATAAACACAATGCCCTACTTCCAGGGAAAACACACTTCAAAACATGGTGGAGCTCAGTAGTTATTTGAAACCAGTCCAAGTCCCACAGACCAGAACCACGAGTCCAGTCAATAACCTCACTAGGCCTTGTTTTCGTGTGCATGTGTGTGTGTGTGTGTGTGTGTGTGTGTGTGTTTGTGTGACTGTCCTTTTGGGGACATTGTAAGTAGCACACTCTATAGGGTACCCACTTTGCGGGTACAGTTCATTTGGACACCCACTGGATTGGAAGGAGGCCCCAGGGTGCCATGAGTAAAGTCTTTAGGGGAACCTATGTTCTTGGTAGTGTAAATGGGAACTCCTTCCACAAGCTGAGGACTTTGTTAGTGTTGATCATAAAACAAGCCAAACGGATGAGAGTTCACACGGTCCAAAAAACTCCCAATAAGATTAGAGTCTCTTCAGTTCAGATTCATACAAAAACAAAACAAATAATAGCCATCATGATAATTATCTTATAGGAACAACAACACAATAGCTAGGTCATTTAGGAACTGCCACAGAGGCTTCAGATTGGGAATGCTACTTCATAACTTTCATACATTAAAACAAAAAAACAAAATCAAAAGAAAAAGTGGGGAAGAGGAAAGAAAAAACAACAAAAGAGAATATTTTTGAAAACAAAAAAGCGCAAAGTGTCGAGCGAGGAGGAGGAGGAGGATAAATTTACTCGTGTAGAAGCTCTTGGAGACAGTTGGGGGACTTGAAGACCTCGGGGACCTCGCTGTCCAGTTTGCAGATGACCTTGTAGATGGCCTTCTTCCAGGACGGGTCCACGTCTTTGCCGGCCACAATGGCGTTAAAGAACTCCCTCAGTGTGATCTCTGCCACCTCAATGAAGCGTTCAGGGACCTTTACAGAAACAAGAAGAGAATACATGATTAGCCGTCTATTGAAGTATATTCTGTGTACATTTCAGAAAGTTTTATCATGTATCCACAATGTAGGACTTGTGCTTGAACACAAAGTGACACACTCAGGGATTCCAAAAATCACCCTATCATTTGAAGCAGGGTTTTTGCTCAATGCTGTTCTCTCCTCCCTTGTAGAATACGATCATATTTTGACAGTGGATGTAAAACCATAAATCGCCTTTCTCTTGAGTATCTACTTCCTTAAAAGTCAATTGAGGCGTCAGCCTGAGAAAAGTCACTTCTTGTGAATTCTCAGGTTTCTCACACCTCCCATATCCCTCACCGCAACATGGTGAGCATGACATCTTTATGAGTCCCACTGTAAATCTGTGACCAAACAAGAGAGCGAAGCTGAGTGAAGAGCGGCGGAGAGGTGCTGGCGAAAGAGGAAGTACTAAATGCTTTGGGAACGGGGAGACACGCCGCCTCTTTAGTGTCCCTGACAGCAGCGCTCACCGACACCATGGAGATGATTAGTCTGGCAAAGATCTGTGACACCTTCCCCCAAGCCAACACTCTGTCACACACACACACACACACACACACACCGGCGCACACACCTCCTTGTGCCAAGATGACACATCCTGTACTGTTACAGAGCTCTACATAATGCTCGCTGCACACACACGAGCTGCCCTGGTGTGTTTGGCTGAGTCTCTTTCCTCGACTCAAAGCTCCAGGGCGACGCAGCCTTCAGGGGTCACCTGCTTGGATAATGCTGACTGTCTCCTTGCCCGCCTCCCTTGATGCTCTCACACACACACACACACACACACACACACACACACACACACACACACACACACACACACACACACGCATATACAGCAGCTTGCCCAAAAGCCTGACAGTGCGCACTCCTCTCCAAGCCTCTCCTCCAGTGTCCTGCAGATACTCATCAGGAGTGTCAGGACACAGCAAGGTTAGTGGCCACTGGAACACACACACACACACACACACACACACACACACACACACACACACACACACACACACACACACACACACACACACACACACACACACACACACACATGGACGAGTTCACAGGCATGCCTCTTGACACACAGGAACTGAAACAGGCATGGGACAGCCACCCCCCCCCCC